CATAATGAAATGAAAATGTCTCATGTTTTATCTAGGATAGTAAATGTAGTCTATTGTAAACAGATTCTGGGAAAATCATTGACGTTTTAGGATTTCGTAAATATTTACTCTAATAAAGCAAGGATGTTATTTACAAATGATTTAATTCATACACAAATTAATAAATAAAATATGTTTACTGCATGTGTTTGCACAGGCTTATGCAATCCGAGGATACCTTTGGGAGAACTCAAGAGCAGATCAGTGCAAGCCCGAGACCGAATGTCTAGGTTGCACATGCTCAAGAATTTTACCCCAGACACTTGCAAAAGCCAGTGCAAACACGAAAACATCTTTTATTTTTTTAAAAATAACAATGCGAAACAAAAACCGTTATAATATTCTTTTAACGTAGTCATGATTAATTTGCAAATTCTGTTTGATTGATTGATTGATTTGATTGGTTGAGCTTAGATCGTTTTTGCAAACTCATGCAAACACAGGTCTAAACCCATCAGCGCACGTGCTTCGTTGTGTTTATTTTATAATATGAAATGATGTCAAGTTAACGATACTTTAACGTTACATAACAGTATATTTTCTGAATTACCTTTCTGAGAGATACCGTACTCATCTGGTTATGATTCTTCACTGATATATGTCATGAGAAAGATAAACACTTTATTTTAGCTGTAGTCTGTACTAAGAAAAGTTCAAAAAATGAAATGTTTCACTAATAATTTATAATTTGCATTCATTGTACAATCATAAACATTGCAATTGAAGAAATGGTACTCTATGTTGTTTGATGTTTGATAAATCATAAATGATTGGAAACATAATAATTCATGAATGCAATATCTGACGTCATTTTCTAAAATCGTCATCCATTTTGAGTGAGACAAATGATTCTTAATTTTATTTCGATATCATATTCCAAACATTTCTGATTCCTACAATGCATCAATTTATTGGTAAATCAATCTACAGGATTAACAAGTCCCAACGGAAAACTAAATGTCAAGATTTACAATAGATTGATTTTAAGATTTCTTTTAATTACAAAGCTAGTCGAGGTTTGCCTCTCCTTGGAAACACATCATAAACTGATTTTATTAATTTTATTTTCATGCAATCGCGGTCATCTCTGGTTGGTGGGCAGTACAAGTGGCATGGTAGGTAGCAATTGCCAGCATTGTCTTGCGGAATCCACGCAATAACTTTATGTAACTTCAAAAGAAAATCTTACAGCTTGATTTGTCAACTGTCCAAGATAATGTAATTCAGTAAATCATTTGATTTGTCAATAATATTTTATTCTTAGCAGAAATTAAACTTCATCATTTTACTTTTTTTATAGATTATGATAATATGTACATTTACTTTATATGATAATATGGTTGATTACAATTTGTTTACACGTGGTTTTGTATTACAGATACACTTCAACAATGGATAAAAATGTCAAACACACAGCATTTTCTACATAAGCTTTCAAATTTTCCACGACACTTTTTACGATCTTCGATTAGAATTAGGTTTTTAGTGTATTTCTTTGACATGATTCCCCATCACTAGGATCTTTCCTTATAGCCTATAAAATTTCATGAAATTTAACTCTAGAAAAGCTTTCCTGCTTTCAGTCTATATCAAGGAATATAGGAAACCTATCCATGATCTGAACGGAAAAAATTTTGCAAATTTTGGCCAGTTTTAAATTTTGTCCTTAAATACTACTTGTGTTTGCCAAGTCTTACCATGATTAAATCAAAACGTTTCATCCATTGGCATAATCATAGTATTTTTCCTTGGTAGCAATAGAAAGATGAAGCACGTCATTTTTTGCAATGAAAAGTAAAAGAACAAAATATAATCTTTCTTCCTGAAGTTTATATGAAGGAAAACTTAATAAACACTTCAGTAGCAAGTCCCAACAAGCTACTCGGCTGATTTTGCTCGTTTCTCAATAATATCTGGCCATATTGATGTAATGATGAATGCGAAAATGAAGGAAATATTGATGCAAGAGAAAGCAGATGAAGAAAAGAACAAAGAAATTATGTTGATTCTTCTTGATGTGGCTCGCACTCAGGCAAGCAGTCGTTGGCATCCAGAGGAGGGGGCAACGACAAGGACGGAAATTTCATTCAGATTGTAAATCTTTTGCCGATACATTCTCCTGTTCTCCAGCTGTGGCTGGACGATCAACGCCTAAGGCCATATAGTACAACATATACAAGGTCAGAGGCACAAAATGAGATGCATCATTTGTTGTCTAATCTGTGAGGGATGAAATTTGTGCTGAATTAAGTCAGCCGGTGTATTTTCTGTGTCTGCAGACACTACACCTAATACTTTGAATCAAGACATGCTTATCGTCGCTGTAAAATATGTCAACCAGATGAGCATCCCATGCGAGACGGCTTGAAATGAAAGAGAGCCTTGATAAAACTGATGCTGGAGCGGGCTAAAGATGTCATTAAATCTTTAATAGAAAATTAAATCGATATAGAAATGTTTGCATTTCAAACATACGATTTTCGCGACATCAATATCTGGATAACTAAATGGCGCTCGCAAAAGTGTTGCAAGAAATTTTAAACGAC